CAGCTCAGAAGCCCCTACCTCTGGGCCGGGAACAGTGGGACTCAGTACCTTGGTCTGGTGGTCTGGTGTCCTCTGTGTCTTTGTAATGTGGAATCAGGTGGCTGCCTGTCTGCAGTGGGGTGATTCGGTGTCTTCCACGCGACTCAGGACCTCGGTAGGGCATGCACAGACCTGCCTGTCTGTAGCGGTCCGAGTCAGCGTCTTCTGCGTGACTCAGGACCTCAGTAGGGCGTGCACAGATCTGCCTGTCTGCAGCGGGCTGAGTCGGCATGTGTTCCTCGCGACTGGGGACCTCGGCAGGGTCTGAAGTCCAATTTTAAAGAGCCACGAAGAATATGAAACTCTTCCCCATTTTTGTGTAAGTAAAATTTTGAACTATTTAGGTTTAAAAATAAGATTTTTTTTTTTTTTTTGTACCGGGGATGGAACTGGGGTCCTTGTGCTTGCGCAGCAGGCGGCGAAACTACTGAGGTAAATCCCTGCCCTAAAAATAATATTTTTTAAAAACTGAAAAGAATGTTTCCATTTCGAGGTAAAATCATCTTTATTTTCAAAAAACTCTGTAACTACCCTAAGCTATGTCATTTATTCATGTGTAAAATACAAATACATGAAAACGATCTTACTTTCATTATGTAACTTGGAGGGAAAATAATTGTGGGGTGATAGTTTTAGTTTTCATCCTTGAAATGTAGCCTAGAAATATTCAGAGTGAGAGCAGGACCTCTCACAAGATACATGTTGGGAAACAAAAGAACATTAAAATATAAATCGCCCATTGCTACAACTTTCTATTTTTTTTCTATTGACACGTGTCCTACTCTAATCAGTTATTAACAAGTTAAATTACACTTTTTCGTAAGTTTTTAGAATCTGAAGACAAAACCCATCATCTGCAGAAGGTGACAGGGAGCCTCTTCGCCAGGAGCCCCTCCTGACAAATGGAGCAGACGTCCTCAGGACCGACTTCCTTCTGTGGAACAGACCTGGCTCCTTCCCCGGCCGCGTGTCTGGCTGCAGGGTTGGAGCTCTATGTAACCCCCGCAGCAAGTCATTTATTTCTCCTTCCGTAAGGCCTAACTGGAAAGCAGCTAGTGAAAAACCCCAGAGCATTAAAATTCAGAGGCAAAACTGGAAATATAGACATGCAAAAATTTATGCTGCAAGTTCGAATTTTCTTTCAAGTACCAGGACAGTTTTAGTTGAATTATATACCGACGGTGACCACTTCTTGGCATTCCTTTCAGAGCCAAAAGGTCAGAAGAAAGTCACAAAAAGAATGGAAATTATCTTTTCTTTTTTTCATTACTGAAAAAAGTGCAGATAGTGCATTGTAAGGGTCTTGGATATGATGGTGTTCATTTTTGGATTGGTGTCATAATTCTGGTTCTACGTTGGTTCTACATTTTGACTTGTTCATTTGTCCATAAGAAAATATTTTATCAACAAACAAGAGTATTAAAAAACAGGGGCCTAAGTACGTAAAAGGGAAACGAGAACATCTGAGGAGCGTAATTTATATTTGTTAGATGAGTAAATGAAGAGTGTCCAGTGTCCAGTGGGGGACCAAGAGTTAATTCATGGGGCCTATTTTCCTGTTTCAGTTTTGTGTCCCTGCCAAGTGTCTCGGGAACTGCGCTCTACACAGACTCGGTCTGCATTCCCCAGGACGCTCTGCTCGGCACTCTGTTGCCTGCACCCTTCTTGTTTTTGAATTCTCTCCATCTTGCTGTCTTTATAAGAAATTGCGTTCTATGGGGCAGTGGTTTTGACCAGAGCACCCTACATTCTTTATTTTCTGGCCTACCCCTAGGCTCCTTCCCCTCTTCCCTCTCTTCCCCATATCTAACGGCTATCCATCCCATACATTCTATTCCTCTTATACAGCAGATGTCTGCTCTCCAGAAAAAGGGAGACTGAAGAGTCAAAGACTGCTTCTGGGCATGAAGATGCCTGAGGGCAGCGGCAATGCTGAAGAATACAGCTTCAGCAAAGAGGCTGTTCTGTGTGGTTCATAGTAGGAACTGGAAAATAAAAGGCAGGAACGACTCTTCTGACACTGGTGTGGAAAAATTGAATGTATGGAACTAAACAAGAATGTTCTGAAGGAGGAGAGCAAAGCAGCAAACCGTGTCTGACATGACAAGGTGTTGTACAGACAATAAACACAGCATCATCTCAGAGAATGGGCAAATGGAACTTTGTTTAGTGGGTGGCTTTCAGCATGGTGCTTCATTTCCCTCTTATCTCACTTCTGTTGACACTAATGAAATCTGTGTGGCTTCCCCCCATGCCTTCTTTACTATTTGAACTTCATGTGTGAATTATACTTAGGTTATGTATTGCAGTAAAACTGGATTCTTCTGAAATATTATAGAGCTTGCCCCTTTGCTGATGCTCTCCTTATCCATAATAATCATCTTTTCAATGGCTTTATTAAATTTTGGTATACACATGAATTTTCTGTGTTAATACTGACATTCTTCCTTTCATGTGTATCAATCCATTCAAAATTGTCTCTTATGGTAGTGGTAGTCTTTTAGAGCTCTCTTTTCTGCTGGTTTTTCTGTTGTTTTTATTTTTCATTATGTCATCCATGTGTGGTTGGTGGTATAAGTTGGAGGTTGGAACTGAATTAGTTTGTTCCTTATTGCTATCCAGTTATATCAGTAATGGCTACCGAAGAGTCATTCATTTCTCATCTTTGTGTCTTGGAGTTGAACTATTGCCTTGTGTTATTTCTTTTTGTACTTAAGAAAGGTTTTGGGGAGAATTTAAATATTAGATTCATGGCAGATGAATATTAGATATATGGCATAATGGAAACAATTTTCTTATTTAGTTTACTAGGCATGAATAGATTAGTTTGAATTTGTATGTGACATCTTTCTCATTTTGCATGATTTCTTTAAAATTGTAGAAATAAACACAGACAGACAGGAGAAGAGGATGTGAGCAAAAAAGAATTCCAAGCTTTGGAGCAGAAATGAAAAGGAAGGCCAAAATGTGACACGGAGATTCAAAGAGAGGAAACCAGGCTGGGCAAGGTAGTTCATGGCTGTAACCCCAGCACTCTGGGAGGCTGAGGCAGGAGGTCACAAGTTCAAGGCCAGCTTGAGCAATTTACTGAGATCTCTGTCTAAAGAAAGAAAGAAAAAGAAGGGCTGGGAAGTAGCTCAGTGCAAGCAAAGGTCCTGGGTTCCATCTTCAGTACTGCAAAACAAACAAACAAATGCAAAACAACAACAAAAAACTCCACCAACAATTAAAAAGAACAAAAACAAAAGCAGGTGTGAATTTGGTGTTTACTCTGTCCGTGGGACCTCCAAATTGAGCTGTCTGACCTCAAAACTGAGCTGTCCAAAGCAACTCTGTCTTGTTGCTGATCTGTGAGAATCAATGGTGTAGATTTCACCACTGGAGATACAAACAACAGGAGATGTTTTCAAAAGATTATGTAGAGTGAGAGAAGAAAACAAAAGGGAAATCCCCATGAAACACTAAAACTAACCTATTTTTTAGTATAACTTTTATTTATTTATTTTATTTTAAATTTATTTTTTAATTTATATATTAATTGGTACATTTTAGGTATACAGTTCATTTACATTTATCATTGGGTGTTTGTACCTGAACATGATGTATCTTTGTTATTTTTTCCCCATTACCTGTGCGCCCTTCCCTATTTACATAGACTTTGTTTCCATTTTTTTTTTCTCATAATTTTTCCTTTCCTTTCTTCCCTTTCCCCTTCCCCTCCCACCACCCCTACCCCTTTGGACCTTTTCCTATTTCAAATTGTCAATTATTCATTTTAATCATTTTTATCCTTATTTATACTTTCAGTTTCTCACACTAGAGATACTACTCGGTATTTACACATATGTGTCCTATTTATTTCACTTAAGAGTATGGCCTCAATATGCATCCATTTAGCTATAAATGACTCTACTTTCTCATTCTTTATGGCTGAGTAGTGCTCCATTTTATAAAAAAGCCACATCTTCTTTATCCAGTAGTATAACTTTTAAATATGTTTGTATAACATTCGGGGGGATGAACTTGCCTAAATAGAATCTTTGAATTGAAAACTGATTATTACTATAATTTTTATGAATATTTATAATATTCATACATTCATAATATTCATACATTTATAATAAATTTTAAAATACAGCTCATTGATGGGTCTTGTATTGGTCCAACAACTCTTTGGTGGCAGGCAACACTTTAATAATGGTAGTATCTTTATTATAAAATGTACCCATTTAAATGACCTATAATAGAACTATTTATCTTTTCCCTTTATTTTTGAGGACTCTGGAATTTAAAGTCTTACAATTACAATGCCTGACTCTAAACTCAATTTAAGTACTGACATAAAACTACTGCATTTTACTCTAGGAACATTTTTTATTTTCAAAAAAATTTCAGTCAGTAAATGCTTTTGGATAAAATTATGTGCCATCATATTTCTGGGTTCTAAAAAATTGCATTTAAAAATTTTCTCACTATTAAAGCAATTTTAGATACAGTAAGCACTGTGAAGTTTTGCTCACGATAGGAGATATTGTTTTCTACCAAATAACTGGCCATTGTTTCATCCTTGTTTTTAAGTGTCTTTGAGTTTGAAAATGACATATCAAAGAAGTTTTTTTTTTAATCAAAGAAGAAAAATGTTCAAACTTTAAGTTTAAGAAGCTGGGCTATAGATAGTTACTGTATTCTTTTTTTTGTTTTTGTTTTGGTACCAGGGATTGAACTCAGGACCTTGTGCTTGCAAGGCAGGTGGCGGAACCACTGAGCTAAATCCCTGACCCCACTTATTGTATTCTTTTGAAAAATAAACACCTAAATTTAGACTAAATTTAAATTTAAAAATTCAACAAATACAATGTTAATTTCAAATTAGTAAAAATAAACACCAAAATAAAAACTGTAAAACTTACATTCATGATTTCTTGGAAGCTTGAATTTTTTTCAATAAGATCCTAATAGTCACAAGTAGAAAAAAAAATTTACATTTTATATAACCTCAAAAGATATTTCTAAAAATTTTTACAACAGAAATAGCATTATATAGTTTGCACTATTAAGTGCTATGAAGAAAATTAAAACATCAATTTTCTATAATAAACTTACATTTTCAAATAAATGTGTAAAAGTATAATTAATGAAAACAAAATACATTTGTAGGAAAGAAATTTATTAGAGAGAGTCCATGTATTTCTTATGGCATATAGCTTTCAGAGAGAGGCTAATGAGGGTTTTAGGTATTTGTAGTACTCTCTTTTTGATTTTCCTGGAAATGAAGTAAGCATCTAGATATAGTACCAAGTGATATAACAACTTCAATGTATAATAGAAAAATATTTTCAAATCTCATCAAAATAAAATGTGATTTTAAAAGTGATAAATACATATTTAGTTACTATTTAAATATATTAAATATACTTTAGTATATTAAATGCTTGGACTATATTTCCATTTAATTGGTTTAAAATACAAATTTAGTTACATCACATTAAAATCAGAATTGACTGCTCTTGCTCTGATATTCAATAAAAATGGAAAAGCCTAATAAGTATAATGAGAACAAATTACAAATTTTGGAAGAAGCATCTTTTTATTTTTATGGGAACAGAACAAATAACCTGTGTTAATAGATGCTTAATAAAAATCAACCAAAATAATAAAAAACTTGGTAAGTAAAGGCATTAGAAAATAACAGATATACTATACTCGTTTATACCTATAAAGATCAGCATTAGAAATGACATAGTCTTTCCTAAATTTTTCATTTCCCCTCAAATATCAATTATAAATTAATAATATAATGAAGAATTTGCTGGTATTTGTACAGATAAGTAGTCAAAACAAAATGAATGGAGTTGGGGTTTTAAACAGAATGGCGATTTTTTTTCTTCTCTTTCTGGGGATTAATAAAAAAGATCTAAAGGAATAATTTCAAATTTCAGAAAAGTAATCTTCAATAGAGTCCTATTTCTATCTTGAAAGATTCATAGCAAAGGGTTCATCAAAAAGAAAAAAATTGTGAAATGACCAACATCGCCAGTATAATAAGGTGAATATTTTCAATTCCATTGTATTTATGTGGAAAATAGAACACTAGATTGCAAGAAAATGTATTTTTAGAGACGGAAAGTTGTTTCTTTCTTTCTTTTTTTTTTTTTTGGTACCAGGGATTGAACTCGGGACCTTGCACTTGCGAGGCAGGAGGCAGAGCCACTGTTGGCCTGGCCCCAACAGAAAGTTGTTGAAGCACAGTAATGTCTCAAAATGAACCACAAAGTTAATATCACTGATGCGAATCACATTTGTACATAGAATGGGAACGAATCTAAAGGTGGATGTTTTTATTTAAAAACATTAACTTTATAAAATGTTCCTCAATTGTTTCCAGAGTAAAATAAAATACATTGGTAAACTATGGGCATTTATACTTTACATTCCGACACTAAATTTCTTTGATCTTGTTGCACTCAAACCAAGAAAAAGTAAAATATATAACCCATTAAGACATTCTTTGGTGAAAGATCTTCATTATAAACTTGAGTTATTTATAGAAAAATGGAGCACCTTGAGACCATAACGTTAAGGGAAATAAATCAGACACAGAAGCTTAGATATCGCATAGTTTCTCTTGTGTGAGAAACCCAAAGTATAAATAAAGAGCAAAATAAAAGATAAATAATAAGAAGTGAGAAGCTAGATCTTTTGTAAAGGGGAAGAGGATCCAGAGAAGGAGGGTGAGGGTGGGAGAGGAAGGGAAAAGGATGAAAAGAGAATGAAGACGTGGTATGTACTTTGCACCAACTCCCCATGAGGAATGTAATCATTATGTACTGCAAAAAGTACTAATAAAAATAAAAATTTAATAAAAAATCACATACCAGCATATATGCTTACAAAGCTCCCCTCCTTTCAGAAATGTGGAACAGTTACAAACATGAGGGTTTCCTAGGAAAACCTTGAAAAGAAAAAAAAAATACCCGTGAATGTTAGAGCACTGACATTATGTAACTAACTTGTTATATAATTTGATTAAAAGAGACTTAGAGAGGTCATCTGGTTTAGGTGAGTGCAGGCAGAGCCTGGTACTGACTAGCCTGTTGGGAAATCTGACCTGGCATTGCACCTCAGACTTTCACTTCCTTATTCTTTGCCTTGGTTAACCACTTGAATTATGAATTAAGACAGTTTTGAGTGATCTTTACGCAGATGCAAATATATCTAAGTTTAAAAGCTGAAAAAACAAGAAACAAACTCTCAAAACGACGTGTCTTACTGTAAGGACTTTTGTAAGGTAGCTCACTTTGGATTTTTGTTTGTTTTGGATTTAAAATTTAATCTAATTCAAGAGGAGTAACCTTATTCACCAAGACTGCATGGCTAACACAGTTTATTAAAGCGAGTTTTGTAAGCAACAAGGGGATAAACAGTCTTTTAAAAAGGTACAGACAAGTAAACTGTATTCAGAACTGTAAAACACATAGCGTCAAATTAAAAATTTCCAAGTCAACTCATAGGAAGTGGGTGCAGTGGCTGATTTTTGCTGAGAATGGAATTTATAAACATAAACTGTCCCTAGTCTTTCAGCAAAATAAAAGGTTTTTTATTCAGAGCTTTCCAAGGCATCACCATTTAAACTAGCCTTTAATGGGGCCTTGCTATGTTGTAAAGTGAAAGAAGCAAAACTGATTTTGTTTATCGAGCAGATATTTACGGTCTGTAAATCTGTAGGCTTTCCTTTCTGTTTGATTTACGGATTAGCGACTGCTAGAAATGGATCGAATGCACAACATGCAAACTACAGCCCTTAAAATCAAGGGGTGTGACGGACCAGCCGTCACCAGTCGAAAGGTTCCTGAATGGGGGAAAGGAGGACTGAGAAAAATCAAGAGAAGAGACAGAGTCGGGAGGGCTCCCAAGACGAAGCAAGCAAGTTTATTTTTACCTCTCTTTTATACACTCAGTGAATTAGGTCATTAACCATGACCTTTATCCAAAACACCTGCTTCGTTGTTTGCTAGTTTTCTAGACACTCCTCGCCCTCATGGGCTACTTTGTTTCCTGGGGTTACAGAAGGTTCACCTTGTTGCTAGGGCAAACTCTAAAGGGAAACATCGGAGTTAGGGGAGACACGGTTCCCCATTACATAGTCTCCTGGCTATTTATAACAAAGGGTAAAATTAAAATGAAGCTTTTTGGCTGACACCGCTCCCCACAAAGGGGCCGTCGTTTTCCAAGAGTTTGGATACAACTGGAGGTCCCACTCTCCAAAAAAGAAGCGTTGGTAGTAGTCACTATTTCTCTTGTGATTCGTGGTGCTGGTGTGGGCAGTGGCAGGGTGGCCTTCGGCCGAGGGGGAGCGGGCGGCCGGTATATTTACTCGGAAATCCCCGTTCTCCGGCTCTTCCTCCCTCAGCAGGAAGCTGGTGGGGCCAATTTCCCGCAGGAGATAGATGCTGCCGCTCAGCGCCTGGTCCTGCTGCCAGCTGAGGCTGTCGCTCAGGTGTCTTCGCCGGACGCCTTACAACTGCGGCGAAGCATCCCGCTCGGACACCTGCGGAGGCGCCCGCGGGTCTCTATGGCGACGGCGTGGGCCGTTTGCCCTTGTGACTGGGGAGGCTCCACCGCTCCCGGCGTGCTCTGCGCGGAACCGTGGGCGGGTGCGGACTCTGTTGTTGCTCGCGCCCGCCCGCGCCCGGATGCGGGGACGAAGCTGGGCCTGGGCTGTTTCCAAAACCAGGGCTGGCAGAATCCGCATTAGGGTGGGCACAAACCTATGGGCTCCGGGTGTTAAAATCACGTCTGTTGATTGCTCGTCTTCTTCAGAAAGCCCCACAGTGATTGCTGACGTTCAGCAATGTCCCATAGACATTTCCTGATTGTTCACGTTGTGCCCGGACTGAAGGAGTCGCTTTCTAGGTCTTCGAGTTGGTGTACGTTGGTTTTTTTCTCCTCTGGTACTTGGGATTGAATCCAGGGCCTTTGCACTGAGCTACAGCCCCAGCCTTTTAAAATGTTCTTTTCTTATTCTGAGACAAGGCCTTGCTAACTTGGCCAAGCCGTCCTAAAGCACGGAGAGCTCTCCGCTACTTGCATGGGTAAGGCTTGGGGCCTGGCTGGTGGCGCGGGGCCTGGCTGGTGGCGCAGAGCCTACGGAGTCTCCAAGGCACGTGGGCTCCAAAAGTGCACATCTCTTGTTATAAGAGTAAGATTTTCAAAATATGCAGCGTTGCCCCAATAATGCGAATTGTCTCTACGCTTTATTATGCCCTAGAAGGAGAGCTGTGAATATGGGGTTAACCTTGAGCCAGTAGTATGTATACGTTAACCCTTTGAGCATTAACTCCTGAAAGAAAAATCATGTTGCTAGATTCTAAGAGTTTAAAACAGGAGATAGCATCCCTTAGCAACAGTAAGGACAGAAGATACTTAAAACCAGGACCAGACTGTGTCAAGAGCAGGCGAGGAGAAAATGGCGGTGGCAGCCTCCACGTGTGATAGCTGGATAAACAGCATCCAGACCCAGGTCTAAGATTTTAACTGACTGAAGTTTGTTTCTAGTGACCTACTCTGAGCAATATACATGTAACAGCAATCCCAATGTTAACATCAATTTAATGGTATCAGAAGTTAAAGCAAAGTGTTACACAGGAAAAATACCCTCGAGAACAAAATAAATTATAAATTGATTTAAGTGATTATATTACCATTTATGATTTTCAAAACATATTAATGACAACTACTTTTTTCTCTATAACGAGATGAATTGTGTTTGACAGTGAAGGCACTTGAGCCAGTCACCACTTGTTTCCCTCCCTGTGTGAATATATGTATATATATGTGTGTGGTAATTTAACAGTTTTAAAGATCAAACATAGCAATAATTGTTTGTTTTTTGGTACCAGGGATTGAAGTCGGGTCCTTGTGCTTGCACAGCAGGCGACGAAACCACTGAGCTAAATCCCTGGCCCCATAGCAATAATTGTTAAAGCTGTTGTGTTTTATTTGGAACTAGTGACAGTTGTATCATATACAGGTGTGTAAGTGATAAATGCCATTTTCAAAAAGGTAACATGCTGGGCCGGGGATTTAGCTCAGTGGTTTCACCGCCTGCTGCGCAAGCGCAAGGACCGGAGTTCGATCCCCAGTACCAAAAAAAAAAAAAAGGTAACATGCTTATGATACAATATTTATTATATAACTGAATAAACAGCCATAGATTCCATTTCTGGGAATTTAAAAAGTAGCAGCATTCATGCCTTTATGGAAGTTGAAGGCACAGATTGCTAGACAGAATTTCAGTCTAGCTGTAAGACATTTGTTTTTCTGTCAGTTACTTCCGAAATGTTTTTATAGCCAGGTGACTGTTCCATGTGTTTGCCTCATCTCTTACAAGCATGTGACGGGGAAGATTTTGCAGACATTAAATTGGAGAATTATATTTCTCCCTTAAATTCACAGCGTTTCACTCCAAGTTCTATTTCAAGGCACTTTGCCCCTGGGAAGAAAATGGTATTTACTGCTAGAAACAAAGATGCCTGAGTTTCATGGATTGCTAAACCTTAGTTTCATGTATTCACTTTTTGCCATGTCTAACACAAGCTGAGCAGCGTGCAGAAGTATAGTGGATGGTGGATGATGCCTTGATTCTAAGGATTAAAGCATGCAATGAAGACAGGAGTTTGTGTTTGCTTGTACATACAGGGAACAAAAGAAAGGCAGAATACTGGTGTACAACAAGGAAGAAACAATTCACAGACTTCAAGGTTGGAAGCAAACCAAGACTCCAATTGGAGGTGACAACTTGATGTCTTTGAAAAAGTCAAAGAGAGCAAATCAGAATTTTGTGATCATCAACAGGGAGTGATTCAAACTGGCCACATTGCAGAAGTGACAGGCAAGAATCTATGGGGACATATTATGAATTCAAGATTCTCATCTTTTGTTATTAGACACAAGGCTACACAAACTTCAATTTTCCTATACTTTATGGGTGGAAATCTGAAATTTTAAGCATTTTATATTTAAGTTGGTCTTCAAGTTCCAATTTGCTTGGCTAAACTCTAGATTGGTTTCTTCCTGACTCGTCTGACTTCTGTCTTAGAACATTACTTTAGAAAACTTTCAATTGAAAATTCTTTTTCTGCCCTTCTGAGATGTAAATATTTTCCCAGCCTCTTGCCAGTATCGCAATCTAGTAGTTTTTCTCAAGGACCTGGGGGCCGTTTGTTTGAAACAGAATTATCAAGAAAAATAGGGTTCCTATATTCCAGTCTTTGTGGTAATTTAAGAGGCTAATTTAGACAGATGTCAATTACCAAATACAGATGTCCTAAGCACACAAGCCTCTTCCCTAAAATCCTCCAGTACTTTTCTTTCTGCTCATTACAAATGTTTAAAATTCCTGCTCTTCATTTTAGTGTAGTTGAGTTCAATCTCTCTCCCTTTTTGCAATAGCATTAAATAGTCTTGGCTTGTTGAGAGGGACCAATGAGGCAGAAAGAAAGGACCAGGATAAGAATACACCCTTCTGGGTCACATGCCCCATGCAACACCTTCTTCGAGCAGGCCCCAGCTCCTGATAGTGCATTCAGGTATTAACTCACCAGTGGGGTTAATCCACTGACGAGTTTAACACTCCCTCGATCCACGTACTGTCCAAAATCCCACCTGTGAACATAAACCTTTTGAGATTTCAACGAGGATGTTTTAAAAGTTGTTTTTCATCACATTTTCCTGGCACTTAGCCAACCCTGTGTCTTAGTTTATGATATTACTAAATGTGGCTCTCTATTCTATTGCTTCCAATTCTTTTTAAGAAACACAAATTGCCTGTATTTTGTAACTGGTTTTATTTGATTTTTTTGTGATTATTTTTATCTATTATTTTCTTTTTCTTGATATTTTTCTCATTCTGCTGTTTTCTGAGAGGGCTTTCAATATTTTCTCTCTTCATCCTAATGCACTGAACATTATGTCATTTCAAGTTCATTTTACAACACTTTAAAAGTTATTGTTCATTTCCTATATCTGCTTGTAGTTCATATGGCTTTTCTTTGATCTCAGCCATGTCTCCTTTGATTGCAGATAATCATATTAAGCCCTTCATTTTCATGAACACCAAATTTTGGTGAATTTTACTAGTTTACATATCAAACAAGTGTGTGCTGTCTAATATGTGTACTTTCTTTTTTTTTTTTTTTTTTTTGGTACTGGGGATTGAACTCGGGTACTTGCACTTGCGCAGCAGGTGGCGGAAACCACTGAGCTAAATCCCTGGCCCTGTACTTTCTTTTTGAAAAGCACACCCTTCTCTTACCTTCTTTATCCCCACCCAGCAGTGTGGCCCTTTTTGTTGTCACGAAATGTTTTCCTAGTTGCCTCTTTCTTTTTATTCATTTTTAGTGGTCATAATTTCTTCTAGGCTTGGTATTTGTTCTTAAAAGTGGCCAAGTGGAGTCTTGCTGTTCTGCCTCAATATCTGCTTGGAAATGTTAGACTTCTCCAGTAATGTTTTAGGCCAATGGGGTGGATCATAGTTCATTTGGCCTAGGAACAGGGAGAACCTAAGACTGTGGTCAATTCCACTAAGGGAACTTGTTTCTGTGAAGTTTCCTCTCATGTTTTGTGAAGAATTTCTCCAGAAAGAAGCCTTAGCTGATAGGAATTTTTTATATTGAATTATTTATAACTAAGAATTTTGACAATGGCCCATTTCACTTTGAAAAATTCCAAAGGAACTTAAGAATTTATTTATAGAATCAGCTACCTCTGGCAGTTTGAGCATGGGATGGCATGATATTCTGAAATACAGATACCTGGTATCCCTATATTTAGATACCTGGTTGAAAGCTGCTGAGGAATGGGGGAGGGGAGTGGGGGAGGGAGGGGGGAGACAGAGAGGGGGAGGGAGAGAGAGAGAGATAGAGAGGGGGAGAGGGAGAGGGGGAGAGAAAGACACACGGAGACACACAGACAAAGGGAGACAGATGGAGAGAATGCAGACAGAAGCCGCCCCAGTCATGTGTGTCTTCTGACCAGACTTCGTCTCCTAATAGCAAGCTTTAAGCCCCCGTAGCCCACTTCCCTTCCAGAAGCCCTACCTATGAGCACACAAGGCTCTTGGGGGACACCTAGGTATAAACCATCACACTGCTTCCTTAGACTTTTGGCCTAATATTAGCATACAAGTTTTACCTAGTATACAAGTTTTAATCTAGAGAACCCAGGTTTACAGGCACATAAACAGACAAACAAATACTTCAACAATGATTAGTTCCAGGGACAAAATATTAGTTAGAAATGCAAAATACAGTTACACTTTAATGCCCAGCTTTACTGTGATTATTATTGATATAGTCATGATATTTTAAATATTGCATAGTGACCTAGTTCATAGTATGATGAAGCTCATCCAAGGGAATAATATGGGGGGAGGGTTGAGAAAAAGCTAATAAACCCCTCAACTTTAGACTGGGAAGCAAATGGAAATACTAAGTTTTTGGAAGACACACACATAAAAATAAGAAGAGTACACTAAAATAATTCTTACTTGCTGCTGGAGTGGGGGATACAGGAAGTAGAGGGCTGGGCCACTATTGAACATTGATTATTTAAACTATTTTAGTTTAAAAATTTGATTAAAAGAAAAACAAAGACAACTTTACTAGTTGCTGTTAAACTGCTTTTCATAAACTTTGGTGAGGTATTATTTGAAATTCAGTAGCATCTGCTTTCAAGTAATTTCTTAGGAAACTGTCACCGAGACCAGATTGTCTGTTGATGCAGACTTATGATGTGTGAGTGTGTGTGTGTGTGTGTGTGTGCGTGTGTGTGTGAAATTTAATCTACTGGTTGAATGTTGAATTTAAAAAATTGTTGGTAGCTTTGGGATCCTATTTTTATTCCAGTAGGTGGCAGCCTAACACTGTGAAACTGAATGTTGCTTGGCTAGCCGCTATTAATCATTGGTGGTTCATAAACATGGTTTTATTTATCTTCCAGAGCACAATGATTTGAAATTTACATTCAAAATTGTGATCGTCTTGTGGATTGTAATAATTATTGCCTACCCACTTAAA